TGTTAATGGCTGGTATTGCAAGTCTCAGAAATTGGAAGAAGCCATGAGGCTTTTCAAAGAAATGGTACGCCAAGAATACAAACCAAATGTCATTACATTTAACACTTTGTTGCTTGATCTATTTAAAGTAGATATGGTGCTTAGTCTATTTAAAATAGATAGGGTTAAGCATGCACATGAGCTTTTTGGGAAGATGAAATTTCATGAAGTCATTCCGAATTCTGCTACTTATGATATATTATTGAATTGATTTATCAAAAACAATTGCCTCGTGGATGCAATGAAACTTATTCGCACTCTAGATATATCTAGTATTAATCTTGGGATTGACACATATAATTGTGTTCTTGATAGATTATGTAAAGCATGAGAACTTGATTTAGCTAGTGAGCTATTTGGGAAGTTGTCTCATAAGGGCTTGGTATTAAACGTTGTTACATATACCATCCTGATTCATGGCTTTTCAAAACATGGAAATATGGAAAAGGCAAATAATTTGTTTTTGAAGATGGAAAAGGAAGGCTATGCACCTAATGTGATCTCTTTTAACACACTCATACGAGGATTTTGCAATCTTAAAGAGGAATCAAAAGTGATTGAACTTCTTGTAAAAATGAGAGAGAAATATCTTTTCAAGTTACTACACGATATCGTTAGTTATAGATATTTTGTCCATAGATGAAAATTGTAGATATATCTAGTCTTAATCTTGGGATTGACACATATAATTGTGTTCTTGATGGATTGTATAAAGTAGGAGAACACGATTTAGCTAGTGAGCTATTTGAGATGTTGTCTCATAAGGACTTGGTATCAAACGTTGTTACATATACCTAGTCTTAATCTTTGTAAGATTAGGCCTGACCTATCATTTCAATGAATAACTGCTTTGATGTCTTTGAAGGTTATCGTTCATGGTGTGATAACTAAACTAAAGAAATAGAAGCCGTCAAATCCTTAAATCGATATTCTGTGCTTCATAATACAATATTACAATAAGCTTTTGCAACATTCCATATCTTTTGTATAATTTGAGCTTCATACATCTTTCATATAACCAAAAAGCTAAAAAGTTCACGACTAACATTTCATCTATGATGATTCAACCTTGGGAAGGAAACTTTGGAAGCACGCTTACATATTTCGAATAATTTTCATCTCTGAACAAAATATCTATAACTAACGACATCGCGTGGTAACTTGGGAAGATATTTCTCTCTCATTTTCACAAGAAGTTCAATCACTTTTGATGCCTCGTTAAGATTGCGAAATCCTTACATGAGCATGTTAAAAGAGATCACATCAGGTGCACAACCTTCCTTTTCCATCTTCAAAAACAAATTATTTGTCTTTTCCATATTTCCATGTTTTGAAAAGTCATGAATCATGATGGTATATGTAACAGCGTTTGATACCAAACCCTTATGAGACAGCTTCCCAAATAGCTAACTAGCTAAATCGAGTTATCATGCTTTACATAATCCATCAATAACACAATTATATGTATCAATCCCAAGATTAAGAGTAGATATATTTAGAGTGCGAATAAGCTTCATTGCATCCACGAGACAATTGTTTTTGATAAATCAATTCAATAATATATCATAAGTAGCAGAATTCGGAATGACTTCATGAAGTTTCATCTTCCCAAAAAGCTCATTTGCATGCTTAACCCTATCTACTTTAAATGGACCAAGTACCCTATCTACTTTAAATAGACCAAGCAACAAAGTGTAAAATATAATAACATTTGATTTTTATTTTTGGCATGCCATTTCTTTGAAAAGCCTCATGACGTCTTCCAATTTCTGAGACTTGCAATACCAGCCATTGACACGTTCTAGCTTACAACATCTCGCTTATGTCCTTTTGTCTCCATCAAAACAAATAACTCTCTTGCATTATCAATCCTATTATCTAAGCAATGCCCATTCATCAATATATTATATGTAGCACAAATTGGCTCTTCACCCCGCTGAATCATCAAGTCGAATAGGCCAACAGCTTCCTTAGTCTGCCCCTGCTTACAAAGTGTATTGATTAAGATATTAAATAATATTACATTAGGGCAAATTCCCTGACCTATCATTTTAATGAAGAATTGTTTTGATGTCGTTGAAGGTTACCATATTGATGTCGTTGAAGTTTACCATTCATGGTGTGATAACTAAAGAAATAGAAGCTGTCAAATCCTCAAATCCATATTCTGTGCTTCATAATACAATATTACAATAATCTTTTACAATATTCCATATCTTTTATATAACTTGAGCTTCATACATCTTTCGCATAACCAAAAAGCTAAAAAGTTCACGACAAAGCATTTCATCTATGATTCAACCTTGGGAAGGAAACTTTGGAAGCAAGTTTACATATTTCGATTAATTTTCATCTCTGGACAAAATATCTATAACTAAGGACATCGTGTGGTAACTTGAGAAGATATTTCTCTCTCATTTTCACAAGAAGTTCAATCACTTTTGATGCCTCTTTAAGATTGCAAAATCCTTGTATGAGCGTGTTAAAAGAGATCACATCAGATGCACAACCTTCCTTTTCCATCTTAAAAAATAAATTATTTGCCTTTTTCATATTTCCATGTTTTGAAAAGCCATGAATCACGATGGTATATATAACGTTTGATACTAAACTCTTATGAGACAACTTCCCAAATAGCTTACTAGCTAAATTGAGTTCTCATGCTTTACATAATCCATCAAGAACACAATTATATGTGTCAATCCCAAGATTAAGACTAGATATATCTAAAGTGCGAATAAGTTTCATTGCATCCACGAGGCAATTGTTTTTTATTAATCCATTCAATAATATATCATAAGTAGCGAAATTCAGAATGATTTCATGAAATTTCATCTTCCCAAAAGGCTCCCGTGCATGCTTAACTCTATCTACTTTAAATAGACGAAGCACCATATCTACTTTAAATAGACCAAGTAACAAATTGTTAAATGTAATGACATTTAGTTTGTATATTTGGCGTACTATTTCATTGAAAAGCCTCATAGTCTCTTCCAATTTCTGACTTGCAATACCAGCCAATTAACACGTTGTAGCTTACAACATCTCGCTTATGTCCTTTAGCCTCCATCAAAACAAATAACTCCCTTGTAGATATTCCATACTTCCTGGTTTCTATTGATTCAAATTCAATTGCTAGTATTAGGCATCTGGTTGACTTTGAAGATTGCCGAAGTAATGGTCATAGGGTCTGTTGATATCACTTAAATATTAGGAATCCTATATTATTGTATAGTAATCAAAATGACTGAAGTCCTATTACTTACAAAAACAATTGGAACTCTATATTAGCTTCAATTTGTCATAATGAAAGAAACATTTAATTAACATAAATGCACGTCTATATTCCCTTTAGGTTCTGTTTGGATTTTATGATCCTTATCATCTTCCAAATAATCCTGGCTGGCCTCTTCGAAACTTTCTATTATATATTCATGTAAGATGTGGACGTGAAAAAGTTCCATTTTTATGCTACCGCGAGAATCATGGTTTTGCGGATCCTGGACTGTCCTTGGTGGGTGAAGCATTGATATTAAATTCACAAGGTAGAGCAGTGGTAATTGAGTTTCAACGCTTTTTGGGTTCACTCGTCTATGTCTCATATAGATAATTGTAGTTTTTATATGAACAGAGATTTCTGAAACTGTGAACTTTGTTTAGGTTGGAAAACCAATCATAAAATGCCAAATGCTGTGGGTTGGGGAAGTAACAGAGGAAGAAAGGTTCCAAGGTTTATCAGTCTTGCTAACACCATGGATCCAACTATGTATCTTACATAAATTATCACTCCACCTACAGAATAGTATTTTTGGTGTTTTCCTCACTATTTGTGGCTCTTTTTTAACAGGTTAGCCATATCAGCTGCAGATTTGAACTTGAAGCTAATGCGATGGCGCGCCTTGCCTTCATTAAACCTTGATGTCTTGTCTTCAGCAAGATGCCTCCTCCTTGGAGCTGGCACACTTGGATGCCAAGTTGGTCGACTGCTTTTGGTTAGCATTTGAGCATTCGAGACTCTCGTTAAAATTTTATCATTTGTTTGGCTTGGTAATATAAAGCTTATATCGTGCAGGCATGGGGTGTCAGGAAAATTACCTTGCTTGATAGTGGCAAGGTGGCTATGTCTAATCCGCTGCGGCAGTCCCCGTATACCTTGGACGACTGTTTGAATGGTGGTGAATACAAGGTGGCAGCAGCAGTTGAAAGTCTTAAAACGAATCTTTCCTGCAGTTGTAAGTAGTTTCTGCTTGAAGATATTGATTGTTTTTTTTTGTTCAACATTTGGACGAGAATGTTATTACCTTTTCTTTTCTCAGGAAGCAGCAGGTGTTGTGATGGCCATTCCAATGCCAGGGCATCCTGTACGTCGCCAGGAAGAAAATAGTGTTATTGAGGACTGCAGATGACTACTTGATTTGATTGATTCTCACGACTCAATCTTTTTGCTTACTGATACTCGTGAAAGCAGATGGCTCCCAAGTCTTCTTTGTGCCAGTGCTAACAAGGTCAATCTCTTTAGTTGTATCCTATTTTCAGTTCTAGAATGAGAATTATGTCCCTCATTCTACTCCAATGCAATCTTTTTTGCATCTTTCCTATACTTCTTCTTTGTTATACCTTGGTGGTGTTTCGTCCTGGATTTTTATACTTGAGATAGGAAAGCATGTTTTCTCAGTATGCTCTTTTTGAAATAAACTTGTTTGCTTCATCTCAGATCACTATTACTGCAGCTCTAGGGATCGACAGCTTTCTAGTTATGCGTCATGGAGCTGGTCCTCTGAGCTCCAACCATGACATAAAAGCAGAAACTATGACTGATTTATCTGCTCAAATGGGAACTGTCTCCCTCGACAACAATGGGACTAGACAAAGATTGGATTGTTACTTTTGTAATGATGTGGTTGCTCCTGTTGATGTAATAATTAAAGCAAACTGATTTCAGTTTACACTTTCCAGTTTTCACATTATTTTTGTTTCAACAGCATTGAGTACTCTGGTCTTTGTGCAGTCAACCTCCAATCGTACGTTGGACCAGCAATGCACTGTTACTCGTCCATGGCTTGCTTCTATTGCATCATCACTTGCAGTTGAACTTCTTGTAGGAATCCTGCATCATCCTTCTGGGTAAGTTCCATAAATCTTAATGCTACCAAATTTGTGACTTTAAAATAGAAACTAGTTCGTTGTACTCCTTTTTATGATCAATCTATACTCTTGTTCAATTGTATTTGTGTAGGATTTTCACAAAGGCTGAATTTGCAAACTCAACTGATTCTTCAAGCACCGAGCAACCTCTTGGTATCTTGCCCCATCAGATTCGAGGCTCCCTCTCTCAATTTTCTCAGATGACCCTTGTGGGTCATGGCTCAACTAGTTACACAGCATGTAGCTCCACTGTAAGTGTCAGCCCTCTAGCACATGCACTTATAGCAGCAGTGGAATACTTTACTAGTTTTCTGGCCATTTTCGGGTCATTTTCTTGGTTATGGAGCTGATTTAGATATTACACTCCCCTCTTATCGATCCTTCTTCTTTCTTCTTTATAGGTTTCTTTCGTCATTTGTTTCTTTTTGAAATGTATGTTTATATGGATTCTGAAACATATTTTGACCAATGTCCTCGAAATTTCTTTGTTGAAGTCTCGTCTTTCATTTCTTTCGATTGGGTATTCAATAATATTTGTGAAATTTAATGTTGTTCAGGTGGTATCAGAGTATCAAAAAAGGGGGGATGGAGTTCATTCTTGAAGCCATCGATCATCCTACATATCTGGAGGACATAACTGGATTAACAGAGCTGATTAAGTCAGCTGGCACTTTCGAACTGGACTGGGATAATGAGGATGATGAGTGTGTTGAAATCTAATTTATTCTTTCATTCGGTTTTACAATTTATTAGCTGTAATCGCTTTACCTTGTATATATAATGTTTGGGATAATGCTAATTAATCAATATATTATTTAACTCACTCCAGCATATTTACTTAGGCATGCCGCATTGATTAGCGACAAATGTCTATTGTTTGACAAATGAATTAGATATTATTGGACGGTATTATTAAAATGAAAAATTTACGAACTACCGATAATTTAATTCAAAACACAATATTGTTTCAATTTATTTATTCAAAACACTTTGCTTAGATATACAATGAGTTTATTTCGCTTAACGGATTGCTGGGGAAATGATATTGCCATTTGGGGAGTAACTCAAATTTCAAGTTCAACAAACGCGCCAAAAATTACAAAATGTTGTATATTGTACTGTTCAATTCAAAATGCTACAGAAAAAAATCAACTTCCTGAACTTATATACTGGTTCTTGAAGCGTCAATAACAATAATCGATGACATAATTGTAGGTGTATTTTACTGCATTGTAACTGAAGACTCGCTATCCGAGGGAAGTCGGTCGACCACTCCACCAAGTCGGTTGATCATGAAACGTTCGAAGATAGATGTTTATCCACTTGATTTGGACTCGCTCAATAATCATATGACGATTATACTTTGCCACTCACCAAAATGCTGGACATGATGAAATGTGTATATGAAGACTCAAAACTGCCAGACACGTGAATAATAACTGCCTAGCATGTGGATGAAAATCGACTGCCTATATATAAGTGCCACCAAAGGGTGTTAGATATGGTAAATGTCTTTCTTGCCGAAATTCTTACTTTTGCACTTCTACTTTTCACCTACATTATCCTTCCTTTCCATCTACTTACTCTCATGCCAGAGGTTAAACACTCATGGGGGAGATAACCACAACCACTTTTATTAGGTAACCAGTTTAAAAGTTTCATTTGTTTAAGATCTCTTCCAGTATGGTTTGATGTACTTAAAAGAGTTCAATGCATGATTTACATTGATGGTGCACGCATTTGTAAATTCTTTACTAAATAAAATTTGGGACTATCGAGATCCACCAGGAACTCGGATGAGAGCCAAATTTGGCATTTACAATTATTTAAGCAATTGGACAAGAAGGTTCCTTAACAATGCCACATAGACCTTCCTTATTTTCAATCTCCTCTTCCATTCTGATATATCCGGCCTCCTCACCCCAGTTTGTGCCTCACGAATTCTTATCTAACCAATATTTTGTACCATCTTCACTTGTTCCGTACCCAGATGCTGTAACACCATGATCTAAGTCGGTCTCACAATCTTCAGATTTCAGAAATACCCCGCTCTTGTAAAATTTGTCTGTTTTAGGATGGATTCTTTCCATGGCTGCTACTGCTGAAAATGCCCAGCAACTTCCTGCAATTTACAAATGAAATTCAGCATTTCTTTTTAACCACATGAACTTTTGCCTACCACATTGGCCCTGATCTGTTATTCCAGGACTCAACGAATTCTACATTCTCTTTGTATATCTTGTATTGCATTGCCTTCTCTGCATTATTTTTGTACGCATGTCCATATTTAGCCATCCAGTGCTCATACCTCTCGGCAATGGATGCTTCATTGAAGGCTGCGAAAAGTTGCCAGACAAGAATATATCCCAAAGACTAAAGAAAGAGCAGGAATAAATTTTTGATCAAATTGCAAATCCATAGGTAAGTATTCCACTTTATATGGCAGTACAAAAATGATAAATTTTCGCAAGTTTATATAGTTTTCGTAGGTTAATTTGAATGTAAAGGCATACAAGAACAACGTATACATGGATAACAAATTGCTTCTTCAATGATTTCTGTCTAAGTGAAAGCATTACCACTGTGATGTGAACCTCTTTTTAGGTTTTGACAACGAACTGCTAAGCATGAAGTGTTAGGATAATTTCAAAATATGGTTTCCCATTTGATTGCAATTTTTATGTTTTATAAAACAGGTTGGATGTATAGCTCTGATACTATGATTAAGCCCAATACATGAACTAATGAACACAATCTTTCAGGAAAAATGCTCCAATGCTTGTGCACTTAGACATTACCAATGTTTATATAGTATTCAGAAGCAGTCTAGCAACTAGCAAGAAAGTTTTAGAATGGAGATCACATTATCTAGCTGATGGAATATCCCTGTATGAAGATTCTTGAAAGTATTTTATCTTACTGCTGGAGATGATAGCCTGTCGTTCTCATATATAAATTTCATACAAGTCGTATTTACATAAGCATGAGTAGGTATTTTGACAATAGATATACACAAGGTGAAACAACGAATTCTTGTTGGAAACGGCTTCTTATCTTGCTGTTTTAAGAAGTTGGATATGAAGCTTGCATCGCAATGCCACAGAGTCCTTCCTCAGCATCAATGTCCCTCTGCATTCTAATGTATCCATTCTCACCCCAACTTGTTCCCCAAGAATTCTTAACTAACCAATACTTAGTACCGTCGCTAGCTGTCCCATAACCGACTGCAGTAACGCCATGGTCTAGATCAGTCCCACATTCTCCAGTGAAAACTCCACTCTTATAGAACTGGAAGTCGGATCCACTAGCATCAATGGCAACAGATACTGGTTGTTTAGCCACCGATTTAAGCAATGCTGACTCGCTATTGGCCGGAACATCCTCGTATCCTGTAATCTTGGCAGCATGGGAGGATTCCTTCTTACCGTTGCAAGTGTTGTCTGTCCCGGCGTATGGGTAATTAGATTCAGTTGTAAGTCCATGGTTTTTGATGATGAACTCAAACGCATTATCCATTAGACCTCCATTGCAGCCCATATCTTCACTTGTGTCGCAATCCACAAGTTCTTGTTCAGATAATGAAATCAATTTTCCTGTCGAAAGTTGGTTGATTCCTTCCGTGGCTGCAACAGCTGAGAATGCCCAGCAACATCCTACAGCATTTGTAAAAATCATTAGATAAACAGCAGATTCGATATTAGAATCAGGAAATACATAAGAAAGAATTGAGTTAAAAAATAGTTGAGTTAACCTACCACATTGGCCTTGGTCCTTAACACCAGTAACAGCTCCCTTCTTTCTCCAGTCCATGCTCGATGGAACCGCGGTCATATTTTCATACCTAAATGACGACGCTTTAGGTGACTTTAGGAAAGATGAAATTTTGTATCCATTCCGAGATGACTGAAACTCCTTGTTTGTCAGATCAGCAAATTGATTGATGCCAAGCTGATAAGACCGAGTCCCTGCTTCATTAAAAGTCTCGATGTACTCCACGTTCTCCTTGAATATTTTGTATCGCATAGCCTTCTCTGCACTATCCTTATACTGGCGTCCATATCGTGCCATCCATTGCTCGTGTTTTTCAACCATGGATGCGTCTTGCAATGAACGAGCTGTGGCTTTAGATGCCCACATCTCCAACACTAGAATTGCAACAAAAATAAGCTTCCAACTCGGATTCGAAGCCATTCTTTTGAGCAGGAGTGTTTAATGTATTTGAATTTGATGATCTGAAGAAATGTGTTGTGCAATCCATCAGAGAGACACAGGTATTTATAGAATTCTTGTTCATTCTTCTTCAAAATATCATCTTGTTTCATTTCAAAGTCCCTGGAAAGCCCGGCAAGTTATGGATGAAAGGGAAATTATAGCTCAATTCCGTGGCCGCTGCTTCATTACATTCAATTAATAAAATCATTCAATTAATTCCGTGGCCGATGCTTTATTATTTTAAAATAAGAAACTAAGTCGTATCAATTGCTTACTGCATTTTCTTACTCATTCTCTACTTAATTATTCACTTTAATTTCTGTGATCTGAAGAAACTAATGCGCCTTCAATGTTTGACAATTCCTCTTGAGTAGACTCGAACTTATTATGAGTGCGAATTATCTCCATCTCTATGAGAATTAAAAGTTACAAAATAAAGTGTCTATCACAACTAACATCATCCATGATCACACAAACCAACGATATATTTATGTTCCTTTCAGAATCTCTATCTATTACGAGAACTAAACACACATTTCACCTCTCGATTTCAATGTGATTCTCAAACGGATCCTAAAATGAGAGAAGAATCATGCTACATGTACATTTTCTTCGACAACAAGTTTGACATTGTGCCATGTGTCTTGAAATCATTGGACAGTTTTTTTTAATAAAAAAAACACACATTGCAGCCCATTTCAATTTGAAACTCAATAGAGTGTAAACTACAATGTAAACAATAGAATGTACAAATGGTTTTATCCATGAGAGAAAATACAAGATAAGCTAGAAAAATGAATTTTTAAAGGGCTGTGATGTTGTCCTAGAGGTTTGTACGTTCGAAGTTCCAAAATGCCCTCCGCACATAAAGGAATTAAATAGGAAAAATGTTCCTTCTAATTTCATTTTTGACCTTCTTTTCCTTTTTCCTCACTTGAATTTCCCAATGCACCCTAAACATGATTTTTCCATCTCTATCATCAAATTCATGAAAGCTCGGGTCTAGACTCTTTCACTTTGCTTCAAATTCGAACTTCTCTTCGTTTTCTTTCCATTTTCATCAATGTAGCTCACATTCGAGAATAAAACCCAAAACATGAAAATAAACCAAAATCAATAATAATAATAACACGGAAATACTCCATTAGTATATCATAAAGCCTTTGTTTAAGAGTCTTATCAATAACCGTTGTTCTAAAAAGTTCGTCTAGTCGGACAAAACGTCTTGCTTAGCGTCTAGATTTTTTTCTTTTTTAAATTTCTAAAAGACTGATTTTTTTAATTCCTCTCTCCCGTCTTTCCTAAGCGAGCTTTATTAGTTTTTTTTTTTCCTTTAAAAAAAACTCTTTTATTTGACTTTAGCTTATTAGTTTTTTTTTTTAATTATTTTTAGAAAAAAAAAACTTTTCATTTGACTTTAATTTAAATTTTTTTAAAAAATTATCTATACAAAAGTTCGAATTGACTTTATCTAAATAGTTAAATAAGATTTAAGCTATTGTGCTATCTACAATATGTAATTATGATCTTGATACTCATTATTTTGTTGTAAACTCTAAAATCATGTATGAAGTTCTTATAAATCTATTAAGTAGGACTTGTCCAATTGAATATTGAAACTAAGAAAAATATTCTATTTTTGTATTTTGAAAACTTGAAAATTATATAATTGACTAAAGAAATTTTTTTTTTTTTTTCATTTGCCTTTAATTTAAATTTTTTAAAAAAATTATCTATACAAAAGTTCGAATTGACTTTATCTAAATAGTTAAATAAGATTTAAGCTATTGTGCTATCTACATTATGTAATTATGATCTTGATACTCATTATTTTGTTGTAAACTCCAAAATCATGTATGAAGTTCTTATAAATCTATTAAGTATGACTTGTCCAATTGAATATTGAAACTAAGAAAAATATTCTATTTTTGTATTTTGAAAACTTGAAAATTATATAATTGACTAATGGTA